ATACTGATGTGGCAAACATGTTGTTGCTGTTACTTCCGGGCACTGCAACATGCTATTATGGAGACGAGCTCGGTATGTTGGATGTCCCAGAGTCATCTGTAACAGAACGAAGTCCAGAAGATCAAGCAAAGCATGGCCGCAATCCATGTAGGTCACCGATGCTATGGTGTGATGCCATAAATGCTGGCTTTTCCAGCAATCCTAACCCATGGCTACCTGTGCAGGCTAATTATTCACAGATCTGTGTTGAAACCCAGATGGCCGACCCAAAATCTCATTTGAACCTTTTCAGAAAACTGTTGCTGCTTCGGCAAGAGCCTGCATTCTCTCTTCCCAGAAATTTTAAGATAGTTAAGTGTGGAGAGGAGTCTATCTTTTGTTTTGCTCGGCATTTCGAGGTGTCGGAATTTGTTATTCTGCTGAACTTGTCTAATGGCGAAATAACCGTTGACTTGTCAAAACATTTTGAAGGTAAAGGTACTATAGTTTTGGACTCACTGAGTGAGCTTGAAAATTCAGCGGTGGTCGAACTTAATTCGGTTACTTTACGAGGCACACATGGATTAGTTATTCACGTTCAACGCTGATCCGCGCTTATTTTACCAGAGTTGAAAAATGTCAAACTTATTTGCAGGCTCCACTGCAAAGTATATTTCGTGGTTTTATTTTTGTATTTATGCATGAGAAAGGATGGTGAAAGACTCCAGTAATTTATAGTCTGTCATCCACAATAGATTTCAGCGCTGCTCTTATGTGACTGGTTGAATTCTTTTTGCAAGTAATAGCATAATCAATTAATATTTAACGTTTTGGATTCTGGGCCCGTTGTTGGACGTATAACAAATTAGAAGACTCATGGTTGAAGGTAAAACGCCAAGTTGATGTTGAAGTTTTGATACATGCGGGTTTCACAGGGTATCATCTGCAGGGTACAATTGATAGGGCTGGCAACAAACCGTCTTACAAAGGCGTCTTACACATTATACAACAAAAGAACAAATTGAACAAGTTATGAACAACGTGAAAGAAAGAAAGCATGAATGACACAACCAGGTTACTGATGACGTTAACGCCGATGTTCAAGCATAACGCAAGCTTGACGCACTATTATTGTTCTAGGTATTTTGCAGCTATTCAAAATTGATTAAACTGTTGAATTTGTTGGCAGTTGTTGATGCTATCAAAAGTCTTTAATATGTTTTACAGGTAATTCGAGCAATTCCTGAATTAATACAGCCCTAAACGTGACTTAACTTAAAAAATAGTGAAGCTACGGTCGACTATTTCACAGTACCTACTCGTAAAATTTGTCATAGCCTGTTTAAGCTTTGTACATGCATTTAAAAGTAAATGAAAGCAAAAGGGGCAAAGTACAACATTTTGAAGGAATTGTGCTTTTGTAGTGTCATAAACAGACATCATGAAAATGGAAAATTCAAAATAATCTCTCTAATGTATAAACAAACAGAAATTTTCAAATAATTCAAATTCGATATTCACATAAAAAATGTAATTTATCTTTGATGCTGAGCTTTTGAGGAAAAGTTTCTTGCTGCAGAACATTTTGCCGATTTGCGGATGCAGATTCATTACATAAATTGTACATGGCGGAAACGGAGTCTAGTCGTTAACATTAGAATACATTTTAAGTACAAAAATGAATTTCACTTGCTAAATGTTTTGCGTAACCATATAGTACTTCCTAGTCTACTTGAATGATCCTTACTTTCATGAGACTGTTAAACAAAGTTAAATATGACTTTGTTCATCATTAAGTTCAAACAAGAAAT